ATACTTCTACTTCCAAAAAAGTATTTTTAAACCCTACTATCTATACTTCTACTTAAGTAATGAATATGAATACTTTTGACACCCCTGCTTGTTATATGTGATGTGTGAGTGTTTTATGTACTAGAAGTAGAACTGTGTAGAAGTTTAGATAATCCTGAATTTAAGAGAATACTCAATCAAACAAATTTCATGAGGTACCAGCAGCAAAACAGGAAGTGACACAATACGTCTTACAGCAAATGTCAAACATCACCAAATGTTCACCAAGATGTCCCAAGATGAGCCCACTTATGATTCACCATAACTATAACCCTATAATAATCAAATAATAAAAAAACTTCATTTAAGATTTGTTGTTGCTGTTTTTTTCCAAAAGATTAAAAGAAATGTGGTTCTTAAAGAAACATAAAATGGTATTAAGGTCAAAAATAACTTTATAGAAAATAGTTCACTTCTGTTATAAGACACAACCTCATGGTGAGGAGGTCATGGTCAGGACAACACTTCTTTATGCTACAAGTGTGAAACAGAATCACCAGCTCGTATTGTCTCCTGCAGCAAGTTGGACAACCGTTCACAATGACACTACTTATGCTCACTGCTGCCAATTTCCTGCAAATCCAGTCATTTACATACCTGTCGCTGGTCTGCATGTGAATCATCACCCCTTCTAGGTTTTTGTGAGTGTGCAACATGCATTAGACTCTTGTTTGTGTAACAAGTTGTCATGGTCTGTGGTTAGTTTTTCCTTAGTTTTTCTGGTGTTTCTGTGCATCTCTGCCCTGCTGTCTATCATTCCTCCAGCCTTGCCCATGCTCACCTGTTTACTCGTGTCTTCTCCAAGAGTTCCTCACTGCCTCATTAGTTTACCTTTATATTCTGTGTCTTGTACTCAGTGATTGTCTGATCATTATGCTATTTCCTCTGCCAGGGTGGTGTCTTCATGTCTTCATGTTTCTTGTGAGATTTTCTGTGAGTACATTTTTGAGCTGCCTTGCCAGCCACTTTTTGTTAATAAAGCTTTTTTGCACTTTGGATTTTTGCCTGTGCTCTGATCAGACCAATGTTTTTCTGGTCCACCTCTTGTTTAGGAGGGTGGTGCAGCTCCATCGCCTGCATTCCCCGTGGCTGGTTCTCCCTCCCCTGCCTCAGAGGAGCCGGTTCCATCTTTGCCGCCATGGGAGGACAAGGTGACACATCCCCAGATCGGGGGATCTCTAACAATCCTCCGGTGGTCTTCCCCTCCCATGGCAAAATAGCTCCTCTGTTGGCAGATTAAGGGTGTCATGGTGGGGCACCCCGATCTGTTGCTCCTGCTCAGCTGCCAGAAAGTCCTTGCCTATGTCCGGAGGGTTTTGACTGAGTGGTCTGGTGCCCTGAGAGGTAACAACTAATCATGTTAACTAGCTAAACATTGTATAATGTGTAACTCATCATTTAGCTAACATTATCTGCCTCCAACAGCATGACTCAACTTACATGCTTTGTTTGGTAAAACCTGTGTGAAGTTTTAGTTGCTCTTACACCGCGAGGCTCTGCTCAGCACAGCAGCTCCTATCCATCATCTCATCTGCAGGAGTAGCTTGCGCACGCTTATGGTGCGTTCAAAGACAGCTCGGGAAAATGCATTACCACAAGTTTAATAATGGAAAAAACAGCTGTAACGGCTGAGAAAAGTGCGGGGGACAGACAGCACAGATGCAGGAAGTGCGGGGAGACATGTCCCACGCATATCCAGTATCCGTTGTGTCCGTGCCTTCACTGCCCAGGGCACTTTTGGAGACGTGGCCCCTGGGCAATTGCCCATTGCCCATATGGTTAATCCGGCCTTGGGTGCCCACCTTCCCACCACTACTGTTCCTGAGCTGCTGGTTCCTGAGGCTACTGTGTTGGCAGTTCCTGAGGCTCTTGAGATGCTGGTTCCTGAGGCTCCTGTGTTGGCAGTTCCTGTTCCTGAGCTGCTGATTCCTGTTCCTGAGGCTTCTGTGTTGGCTGCCATCGCCTCTGTGTCCCCTGGATTGGCTGCATTGGATAGTCCTTTGGCTGTTCCCCCAAACCTTTGTGTCTTGTCTTTGAATCTCTCTTGTGGTGTGTTTTTCCTAAGTCCCGTATCTCTCTCCTTCAACAGCTGGAGCTGTCATTGAGGGGGAGGTACTGTCATGGTCTGTTTATTTTTCACTTAGTTTTTCTAGTGTTTCTGTGTTCCCCTGTGTATCTCTGCCCTGCTGTCTGTCATTCCTCCAGGCTCACCCATGCTCACCTGTTTCCCCTTGTGTC